TAAGGCCAGGAGTAAAGCCAGACCAGTCTAAGTGGATACATGTAAAGAGAAATGGTCACATATTCTGGATTCTGCACAGTCCCATGGCCTAGAACTGTTACGCATAAAACTGGTAGGAATGGGACAGGTGACACGCTGCACTAATTCATTTAGGGTGGGGAGTCAGACTGGAGATTCCTCCCAGAAAACCAGGACTCAGAAGGGCTGGACTCTGAGAAAAGGGTGATCAATAAAAAAAAAAAATGAATGAATGAATGAATGAATGAATGAATAACAAGAAAAAGTGCCTCCATTGGCCTTGATTTGAAGTAATTGGGGGAAAAAAGTTCCTTGAGATTTTAGAGCTACTGACTGACATTTGCATGATGAGGGGGTCTGAAAAGACACCCATAGCAAGGTCTTAAATCCCCCGCCCCTACCCCCTGCAAATGACCTAATGAATCTAATGTAGACCCTGGTACGTTACCAGCTGATCCCAATGCCTAGCAAAAGTGATCACAAATCCTCCCTGCAGGAATGCACCTCAAGCCAGGCCATACAGAATTATCATAGGGTTCAAAAACACAGGGGTTCACAATAAAAATCTCAGTGCATACAGGAAACAGACCCATGAATGAAAGGCAGCAGAAAAAACAAACCATAAAATCAGGCCCACAAAGACTTCAGAGATTGGGATATAAACTGTAAAACAACTGTGTTTAATATGTTTAAAGAAATAAAAGAGAAAATTAAAAGTGAGTAAAGAACAAGAGCCTACAACGGCTGCCCCTTATCTGCACTTTCGTTTTCTGCAGTTTCACAGTACGGTTAACAGTGGTTTGGAAGTAGAGCACCTTCCTTTGTTCAAATCGTCGGAAGGTCAATAGTAGACTAACACTACGTCCCAGTGCTTACGTCACTCCCCTCACTTCATCTCATCATGAGGTATTTTACCATCTCATGTCATCACAAGAAGGATGGTAAATACAATATAGTAAGATATTTTGAGAGATACCACATTCATATAACCCTTATTACAGTTTACTGCTATAGTCTATTTTATATTAGTTATTGTTGTTAATCTCTTACTGTGCCTAATTCATAAATTAAATTTTATCATTGGCATGCATGTATAGGAAAAACATAATACATACAGGATTTGATATTATTTGTGGTTTCAGGCACCCACTTGGGGGCCTTGGAACAAACATATCCTCCACAGATAAGAGGGGACTACTGTACAAAAATGACCAGATTTGAAAAAATAATTAAAGTGCCTACCAATGATGAATAAGTATACCTAGCTTCCTGTATGAAAGCCAACACACTTTCTATTTGAAAAAAAGTTGTGGAATTTGTCCACCTCATCTCTGGCTATTAAATGTAACCTGCCTATACCTGCCCTGCATCAGCAGCAGGGAATCTTGTCCCAAATACTTTTCCAGAATCATCCCTCTACATAGCCCAGGCCTCTTGTGCTATTTCTCCTAGCTCTGGGATTGCTGGCTTCCTTCCCCAGTTCCCAGTTCCTCCTCCTTCTTTACATGGCACCTGCAGACACTTCTTGGGTTCCCTCTGAACTCTGTACCGCTCCCTTTCTCATGGTGGCACCCTCAGTCCAAGTGTGAGGGGATCTCATACATGGCTATGCTAGCAGCGGTTTTACTCATGCCCCATTCTCCCAGCACCACCTGTATGCCTGTTTCCAAAGCACCTTTCATGTCCATAAAGCACTGTCATCCTCACACACAGGAGACTGGCACAGAGTTAATGTCATTCAGCTAGACAGTGACAGAACCAGGACTCAAAATTGGGTTCATACCCATGTCTCTGCATGACCCAGGGCTTGTTCTGATTCTCCACAGCCACTTACTATTAGAGCAATGATCAATAATCAACCAGTGCTGTCTGTTCCTTTATTATGTTAAACCCTTACCAGCCTTCATCAAACTGGGTTAACATCTTTTTTAGTCTTATCTAGGTGGTTAGGACACTTCTGGGACATTGCCAAATGCAGACTTATGATCAAGGAAATGTTAATTTACATCCTATATGTCTGAAGATAATCTATCTCTGGCTACAGTCAATAGAAACATAGTACACGTTCTCTCAAGCAAAGTCAGCCTGAGATAGCAGAGGGGGAAGAAGCAGGGGAGGGAGACAGGGTCTCTGTGCATCTCTCCTCCTCCATCTCAAAGTAGTGTCTTGAAGTCCCATGGAGAAGCATTTTTAAATAGATAAAACAAGTAAATGAACTAGGGTAATGGGATAGAGAGTGCCTGGGTGGAGGGGGTCTGGGTAGGAGTCCAAGTGTGTGTTCAAGGAAAGCTGGCTAGGGGAGGGGATGGCTGAGCGAAGCTCCGAATGACAGCCATGTGGAGGTCAGGGGCCAGCATCCCAGGCAGTACAAAGGTCCCAAGGCAGGAATGAGCCTGGGGTGTCTGAGCACAAAGAAACCAGTGTGGCAAGTGGCACACAGCAAAGTATTTTAGGCATTAGAGAAGTAGGCATCTCTGGGAACACCTACCTCATCCAAGTGGGAAAATGATGTTTGTTTTACACTTTCAGGGCCTTTGATTCTTACCCAATACCCATCTCCCACACCAGCCCTTCAGCAAATCCAGCCAGCTCTGACACAGACTGTCCAGTCCCCATTACAGCCATCCCCAGCCCAAGTTATCATCCTCTCCTACAACAACTTCCTAGTGGAGTGCCTTGCCTCCTGCAAGGCATTCTCCTTTCAGCAGAAAAGCCATCTTTTCAGTGTAAAAGGATGGTGTCTCATCCTTGCCTAGATCTTTTCAATGACTTTGTACTTGGTTCTGTCTCTCTATCACCAGGAGCTCTGGCTGAACTGAGGAAGCCGTGGGCCCTTGAGAAATCCTCCCCAGTGGATGAGTTGCCATCAACTGCCCCTTAGCCTGGTGTGTCTCTGGCTCCCCCTGCTCTGATCCTTAGAACAGAGGCAGAATGGAAGATGGCATTTTGAATGGTCATAAACAATTTAGTAGGGGGTTAGAATGCAATGTATTAGAGAAAATCGTATTTGGGAACCTGATGATTCGCTCCTGGGTGTGTATGAGCTCTGTGGTTTATGCAGCGAGGGACGGTGCTATGTGGGCTCAGACACATCTTCAGCACATGCCTGGAAGCCCCGAGCTCCCCAAGGCCTCCATCATGATCCCTGCTGCCTTTTGCATTCTCTAGAACATTATGTATGTACCTCCAATGCCAGGCAGCACAGCCTGGTGGGCCCAGTAGGAGGATGAGTCAGCAGAGGCCTGGCTCACAAGGCATCTAGGTGCCCTGGGAAGGTTCCTGGGTGTAGTAGACATCTTTTATGCCCCACTTCACATATCCTAGGCTCACCTGTTTAATTTGGGCATTGCTGTGGCAACCAGCAACCAGATGAACAAGAGCTGCACAGAATATCACCTGTTTTCTGACAGCTACTTATTAGCTGTGTGATCTTAGGCAAGTTGCTTAACCTCTCTGTGTCTCATTCCATCATGGGGGAAAGGGGTATGATAATAGTAGCCACATGATATGGTTGTAGTGAAAATTACATGAGCTAGTAAATGTAAAGTGCTTATAACACTGCCTGGCATAGAGTAAGTACTGTCAAAAAGATAGACATTGTTATTATTACTATGACTGTTATTATTTGTATTATTATTACTCTACCTAGGCCTGGGTGCTAAGGGAGGGAGACCAGACTTCTAGCTCCAAGTCTGCTCCAAGTTGGAGCCTGAATTGCTGAGGATGGGAGTTGACTTCAGCCCTCCTGTTGCCACTGTGTGAGGCTGCAGAGATGGGAAAGGGAAGGGAATATCACTACTACCTGATTGATAATGTCCAGGAGGAAGAGAGAGGGGCCAAAGAGGTGCCTCCCAGCCCCATATAGCTGCCCACAAAGGCCACAGGTGATTACCTGCCGGGCCTCTAACAGGAAGGAGGTCCCTGAGCACTGCTACCCTGACCTACAAGCAAGGGGCTGGGCCTCTGGGTGAGGTGAGCAGGGAGTAGGGGGTCTGTTGGAAAGAGCACTGAGCCAGCAGATGGATTTCAGGCCTGGCTCCCTGAGCAAATTCCAGCACCTAAAACAGGGCTTGCCAAGCAATGGGTGCTCAATAATTATTTGTTGAACAAATGGATGAGTGAACCAATGAATGAATAACATGGTCCTGGCTCTTGGGAAGTTTCCAACCTGCCCACCTCACCCAGAGTCCAGCCCCCTGGTTCTACATCAGGGAATATAAGGATTTGGACAGTGTCAACTTATCTTTTCAGGAGCCTTTCAAATGCTAAGCTGTCCCTGTCTCTAGGCCTTTGTGCATGTAGGCCTCACCTCTGTGCTCTTTCCTCTTTTCTGCCTCCTGGAATCCCCTTTACCCTTTAGGCCTAACTGAGTTCCACTTTTAGAATATATCTCCGCTCACAGGAGCACTTTCCTCAGCTGAATCCGTGGCCCCTGTGTTCTGCCCCATAGATCTGACACAGCCACGCACTCTATAGATGTGTGCTGGATCTCGGCAGATTCTCTGAGCGCCTCAGGGAGAAAACACTTCTGCTGTCTCCTCAGATGAGGAAACCAGGGACCCGCCTAAGATCTCACGACTGAGAATGCTTTTGCTCTCCTTGCTTCAGCATGCCTGTATGGATCCTTACCTGCCAGAACATGTTCTGCTCCAGGAAGCCCTTTCCCTCCCTTCTCCCAAAGCCTAACTCCAAACTGTACAGCTATCTGTAAACTGGGCATGCGCCAGACTCCCTAGCACTGGTTTTCTGAAGTCCAGCCCCACACAAGGAGTTGGTTCAGTACAAAGAGTTGTCAGCTCCCAGGCCCCACCGGTCTCCTCCAACCAGCAACTGCCATGAGTCTGGGACCAATCCAGCCCTTAGGGAGCTGCAGGCCTAAGGTAAACCCAGGTCTGGGCCGGACCTCTGCCCTCCTCCTCAGCTGCCCAACCCACCAGCACAGTGTTCACACGAACACCCACCCCTATCAGCCAAGCCCAACTACCTCTCCCCGCCCCACCCTGGCCAAACACTGGCAGAGGGAGCTGGCGAACCAGACTGGCAGGCCTTCCTGGGGGCAGGCAGGCCTTAAGGAACCTCAGGATAAGGAGGTGAAATGGAGGTCACCGGGGCTCCCAGAAGCCAGACAGACGTGGAGAGGAGCTGCTCTCGGCTGGGACCTAAGGGCAGTGAGTCTCGCTCTTTTGATCCCCACAACAAATGCCCCGTGAGAGCTGAGAGAGTTTTACCAGCTACAGTGATCCTTTCTGTCTTCACAGGGCTCTGCCGCTGACAGCACCCGTTTACAGGAGGTAACTACTCTGATAGACTCGGCAACAGCAGAACCAGCAGGCTCACGCTCAGACACACAGCAGCAGCTGGAAGAGCCGGGTCCAGTCCACTGCTCTGCCCCAAAGACTCACGGTGGCTGACATGGGCCGAGCAGCTCCGGGCCCTGCCGGCCTTGGGGGCTTGGACTTCAGGGCCAAGCTTCAGGGGCTTTGCAGAAGTCTGGCAGATGATGGCATTGCTGAACCTGTTCTTGACAGGCACTGTATCTCTGTGAACTTCATGACAACTCTGTTGGCAGACATCACCATTTCACAAATGAGGAAACTGAGTGTCAGTGAGGTGAAGCAACTCAACCGCCAGTAGGGTTAATTTAGCAATCCTGTTAGAACCAGGGTTTGAGACCAGGAACGACAGTTCCAGAGGCTGATTTCATAGACACTGCTCTACTGTGGCAGGAATAGCTGTCCCTGCTTCTATCCGACAGATGAAAAACCATCCAGAAATAACACGGTCCCTTTCACTATCCCACTTTTAAGTTGGACCTCTTCCCAAACTTCATTGACGGGGCTCCCTGCTGGCCTGTCAAGGGTTACAGGCTCTCCACGGTAATCATTGACTGCCACCTAATGGCACCACATGGAATGTCACATTCTATCCCTTCATCTAATGCCAAAATGCTAAAATTGCTCTTCCCATCTTCTTGCTTCAGGATCCGTAAGAATTACAGGTAAATGTTATTCCTAATTTATGAATGAGGAAATGGAGACCCAGGAGAGTGAGTTAAACAGATTATTGAAGGTATACAGTAAGTATTGTATAGAAGTTAAGGATCAGAATCCTCGATACCATTTTCTGAAAGTGTGACTTGAGTAAGACATTTTGTTATTTATTTTTGATGGACAGCTAACCACCATTGCCACAATAACAATTTTTTTCTGGCTTTATTTACTAAACAGTTCTACCTTTACCCATTAATCTCCCAATGTAGCTCTATCATATGTCAAAGTTTGGTATTTGAATAAGGCTGTTCCTGGACTCTCTTTTCTAATCCACTGGTCAATTTGTCTAGCCCTATGTCTGTACCATATACTACAGCTTCATAATAAAGTGAAGATCCTTTTTCCTTGTGCTTCATTTTCAGAAGCATATTGTCTATTCTTGATGTTTCTTTTTAAATTTAAAAGTCAGTTTATCAGACTTTCACATAATCCTATTGAGACTTGTATCAGAGTTGCATTGAATATGCAATGGAGAACTCGGAGAGAATTCATATTATTACAATGTTAAACTTTCCTACTCCTGAATATATGCTATCTCTTCATTTATGTAGGTTTCTTTAATCTCATTCAAAATAATTTTTGTAAGTTTCTACATGTAGGGTTGTATATATTTTCTTTTAAATTTATTCCTAATTACATTTTTTTTATATTATACATGGTTGTCTTTTAAAATCATGTTTGGGGACCTCAGAAAGATAACAACATGAACCCCCTGAGTGTGCCTGCCCCCATACTCTCCAGCGGCTTAACTAAAGCCAGCAGGTGTGCACAGCTCACCTCCTCCCATGGACACCACAAATCTACAGCTACATATGGATTATTTCCCTCTGAAAAAGATCTGAAAACTAGATGAACTTGCTTCTGCACAAAAAAAGGATAAAAGGACCACACTGAGATGGGCAGGAGGCAGAGACATGGCCTCACCAAAAACCCCCACCCCCAGTGCAGTGACATACAGTGAGGGATCTCACCAGTCCACACATCCTCAGGAGGAACCGCCACATCAGGAACACCAACCCCTGGGATCTGCTCCAAGAGACAAGCCCCCAAAATGTCTGCCTTCCAAACCAATGGGGCTGATGTCTAAGGGACTCAAGGTGCTATAGGAAGCTGAGATTTCCCTTTTAAAGGGCTCACTTGTGGTCTCCCTTGTCCGAGACACAGTGAAAAAACAGCAGTTTGAAAAGCACCCAGACTATATGTGGAGGAGATTCATGTGCTGACCTGGGGGCATGTCTGGAGGAGCAGAGGACAGTTGAGATGCCCCCTGGGGACAGAGGCCCTGGGAGATGCCATTTTTGCACTTTGCTAACACAGGTGGCTGAGCTTGGAAGCAGTGCTCTCCACTGCCCTGCTAAGACAGGTGGGGGTGGGGACGTGGCACTGTCTTGCTGAAGCCAGAGTGCAGGTAGGTGCAGCGTTCTCCCACTCCTGGCTCGGGGCCAATGCTAATGGTAGGGCATTCTCCCACTCCTTGGCTGGGGAGGAATGCTAACCACACAGCATTCTCCCACATCCCAGCTGAAGTCGGTGGCAAGTTCACAGAGGGTTGTGACAGTCTCCATCTCCCAGGGCTGGAGAGCCTGAATGGAGGTGGAGTTCAGCCTGAAGCCAGCATGTCCTTGCACAGACAAGGCACACTCCCTCTGCCTGAACCCCCTGAGTGTGCCTGCCCCCATACTCTCCAGCGGCTTAACTAAAGCCAGCAGGTGTGCACAGTCCACAAAGGGGACACTCCTGGATTGCCTGGGCCTGGTGGCCAAGGGGGTGGGCATTCCTGAGCTCAGTGGGAACAATCAAAAAGACAGTTCTTAGCAGCCACTCTCCCATGCCCTCAGTCCACCCCAATCCCCGGCACTGCACAGACAGCAGACTGAAACACAACCCCAGTCTTCCTGTGAAAAAGGCCTATTCACTTAACCTGGAGCTTCATCCTGAGTGACAGACTTCAGGTTTTCCAAACACCTGGAGGCTGAGGCGCTCCCAGGAAATCCAAGCAGGAAGACACCATCCTGCCCATCTGCTTGGCCTCCCTACAGCTTCATGAGACCCCCCCAGAAGGAATCTTGTCCCCTCATCTGAAGTCCCGATTTTTGTAACTGTCAGACGGACACCTCCTGATCTCCTGATCTAGAGGCCAGCAGGGATTAGATTGTGGCCCCACGGGACTGTATAAATTTGCATCTTTAAAAGCTGCTACATAAGGGTCTGGCTGCCAATCAGCCTGAAACTAAGAACTCAATGCGATTCCTCCCCTTGGATCACTGACAGGTCTTGGCACACCCTTAATGTCCAGGCATATCAAGGATAAATCAGGTGGTTTAGACAATCATAAAGGTTCAAGAAACTATCAAGAATTCAGGCAAAGTTGAATGAGAGGGTTCATCACTTACACAAAGCGGCTCCTTTAAGACTAAAAGAGGTAGCTGTTTGGTCAAATACATAAGAAGCAAACACAGGGGTCAAGCAAAACAAGGAGACAGAGGAATATGTTCCAGAGACCAAGACAAAACTTCTTCAGGGAGAATGATACCTCCAGCCTTGTTCTTCCTTCTCAAGATTGTTTTGGCTATTCAGGGTCTTTTGTGGTTCCATTCAAATTTTAGGGTTATTTGTTCTACTTCTGTTAAAAATGCTATTGGAATTTTGATAGGAATTGCATTTAATCTGTAGTTTGCTTTTAGTAGTATAGACATTTTAACAATATTAATTCTTCCAATCTATGAGTATGGAATGTCTTTTCCATTTATTTGTGTCTTCTCCAATTTTATCAGTGTCTTACAGTTTTCAGTGCACAATCTTTCACCCACTTGTTAAATTTATTCCTAAGCATTTTATTCTTTTTGGTGCAATTGTAAATGGGATTTTTTTCTTGATTTCTCTTTCTGATCGTTTTTAATTAATGTATACAAACTCAACCGATTTGGGTATATTAATTTTATCCTGCGACTTTACTGAATTCATTTATTAGATTTTTGGCGGAGTCATAAACTTACAGGGTTTTCTCAAAATCCCTGATTTGAAAAGACATATGTACCCCTATATTTATCACCACATTATTTACAATAGCCAAGTGATGCAAGCAACCAAAGTGTCCATCAATAGATGAATGGATAAAGAAGATATGGTACATATACACAATGGGATATTATTCAGCCATAAAAAAAAGAAAGAAATCTTGCCATTTGCAACAACATAGATGGATTTAGAGGGTATTGTGCTAAATTAAATAAGTCAGGTAGAGAAGGACAAATACCATATGATTTTACTTATTTGTGGCATCTAAAAACAAAACAAAATGAACAAAATAGCAGTAGACTCATAGACACAGAGAAGTGACTGGTGGTTACCATGGGGGAGGGTTTGGGGTGGGTGAGTGCAGAGGGCGAAGGTGATAAAGGGGCACAAAAATTTTCAGTCATAATATAAGTTGGTCCCGGGGACAGTAGTACAGCATGGAGAATATAGCCAATGATTCTGTAACATCTTCCTATGTTGACAGATAGTAATTACACTAGTTGGGGTGAGGATTAAATAATGTGGGTAATGTTGAAACACTGTGTTGTATGCCTGAAATTAATATAAGATTGCATACCAACCATACTTCAATTAAAGAAAATTTTTTTAAAACCTTATAGGGTTTTCTATATATTGTAACATGTCATCTGTAAATAGTGACAGTTTTACTTCTCCCTTTCCAATTTGTATGCCGATGGAGGAACACCAATTCCTTGTTCCTCCGGGAGAAGCACCTGTCTGGTGAGATCTCTCCCTATTATGTGTCTCTGTACCAGAGGTCAGATTTTTTGCAAGACCACGTCTCTGACTTTCCTACCCATCTCAATATGGTCCTTTTATCCATTGTTGTGCAGAGCAATTCATCTGATTTTCTGATCTTTTTTCAGAGGGAATAATCCATACATAGCTGTGGATTTGGAGTGTCTGTGGGAAGAGGTGAGCTCAAGATCTTCCAACACCACCATCTTGGACCCCCTCTTTTTGGCACTGGGGTTTTTGTCTGTGATGTTCACTCTTTATCCCAGTGCCTACAACAGTGCCTGTCACAAAGTAGATTCAATAAGTATTTGTTGAATGAACTTATGTGATCCTTAGAGAAAGCAGAAGTTCCAACTAGGACATCTACAACATTGGTTGTCCCAAAATTTTCATTCCTAAGATCTCCCCAGGCCCATATCTTCTCTTCCCTGAGAGCATATCTGAGTGGCTGACAGATGGGAGAACATGGAATGAAGGACCAGGACCAGGTAGATAAAGAAGCTTGCTCTCCCCATTGAGAAGGACCCGGCTGTAGGCTTCCCTGCCCCAACAGCCCTGGAACTCCTGTCCCCATGATCCCCTGACCGTCTGAGGAAGTTAGCCCCGGCCTGAGCAAGAGCAGTTTGACCTGGAAGGCAAAGGAATGGAAAGAAAAGAATTCTGTAAGCCTTTAATTTCCCTCTCCTCTATTCCAGACCGACTCTGAAATGAACTTCTGGCCATCTGGCTGGGGAGATCCCTGTAGAGGCTGCTCCTCGTTTAGTATTATCAAGAGTCTAAGAGGCCGTGTGGCTTCCCATGCAAGGGCAGTGGTAAGAAGGCCACAGGACTCTCACGAGAGCGTCTCCTGTTACCACCCTCCTTAGGTCTCCCCGGACTGACTTCTCTTTCCCTTTCTGAAGCCTTGTCAGCTTCTCCCAGCCAGTTATCCTTGATCTGTTTCCTCCAGCACCCCATGGCTGGGCCACCAGAAGTCAACTGTCATTCTGATTACTCAGCCAGAGTCTTCCAGCCCTGGTCAAAAACAGACAAGAAATTGATGAAGCCCACTCTTCAGTGGGGTTTTTATAGAAAGAATCCTGTAACCTATTGACTTTGCTGCCCCCAACCTCAACCCAAGTGCATTCTGCCTCCACTTTCCTGGACCCCCATATGATTCTCTATGTCACAGTGGCCTGCTCCCCATTCCCTCAATACACCACTTCCCAAACTGTACAGGGACTGAGAAACTAATCTAAGCCAACTATAGACGAGCTCCATTTCCCACAAAGGCTGTGCTCTTTCAATGTCGAGTGAATCGTACAGTGGACTTTATCCTCTCAGATATTATTTGTCTTCATTTGTTTGCTCTTCTACTGAGAGATGTTTCTCACAGTTAAGCTTTAAGAGTTTTCTGACCAGAGTGATTTCCCAATCCATATCTTTCCAAGCCATCTATTCAGTCATTTACTCACTCATGCTTGTAGACACAAATGACTGCACTTAAAACAACAATAACAACTAACAACATTTGCTGAGCATTGGCTCAGGCAGTGTCCCAGGTACTGGGACTCAAAGTCACGTTCATTATTCTCAAAG